AATAATTGGTTACATCTTTTCATTCTAAGAAAAACTAGTTCTTCTATATAGGTATATAATATATAATCTACTTCATGGCAATCAACAATGATCTTAGTGTTTAACAAATTAAGGAGCTCGCTCTGAAATACATTGTATATAATCAATTCAATGATGGGAAACAACATTAAAATTTTGTTGTAGTATTATGTATGGAAATTTTCGAGATTGATTGCTAATCACTTTAATATATAAGTTGTATTTCACAAAATGTACTAGTTGTTGCAAAGTTCATGATAGCTTTGTTTAATAGACATAGTGCGCAAAATTTTTCAATATTGACGATTATATAGTATTTTTATTATTTAAATGATTCTTAATGCAAAATCTCTAAATAGACTCATGGTATTGAACAATCTAATAAGTTATTTATTCTAACAAGGCGGATTTCTTTCTCATAATTTATTGCTCATCTCTATGAAACAGATTAACTTTGGTTTTCTCATGTTAATTAATTATTATTTATAAGTAGATTTGCCTACTACGAAGGCTACGAGACTATTGATAACCAAATTAATATCTTCTAATCATATTTCCTAATCCCATATGTAGTCACGTTAACTAGCTAAATTAAAGTTACAATTTCACTTTTTAAGTAGTTTAGGTTGATAAACATAATTTGGATTGGTTTATAGCTCTTTGATTTTGACACATTCAATTTAGATTGGCCAATTATGGCTTTATTTTTATAGTACAAAAACAATTACTGATAATTATGGCTAAATTGTAGGAAGAAAATATATTAAAATTTTATTAATGGGGAATATAAATATATGCCTGTTTTAAAGAGAGAGTTAGAATATTAAACAATTAAATGGCATCCTGTCGGAAGTAAATTTCAAGTAACGTCGTACGTACTATTCAAGTGGATATATGGGATTGTTTTGAAAGTCATAGGAAGGAGAATGTTGTACAGTTGCACGTTCACGTAGAAGGAAAAGGGTTCCGGCTGGCCATGCATTTCTAATATTTAATTAATTTCATTTTTCATGCTATGGAATAAAATAATAGATAAAGCATGTTTTGTTACTCACGTCAGGTTGTTTGTCTTTTCCGTTGTGCTTCTTTAGAAAATGGTATAAAATAGTAAGAAAAAATAAATATATTTCACTCCCCGATTTTATTATGTGAATCTATAAATACTTTATTTCTGCACATTAATCATCACCAACGAACCAACAAAGGAAAAGAAAGAAACTTCCATACATCAATATGACCTGCTCTTCATACCATCTTCCAATCGCTCTGCTCATTCTCTCGGTTGCCAGCCACCTTCCAATTCTAGCATGGTGTAGTAGCAATGGCTTTTCTATAGAGCTCATCCATCGCGACTCCCCCAAGTCGCCGCTCTATGACCCCAAATCCACATATTCGTCCCGCATACGTGCGGCAGCTGAGCGCTCTCGTTCCCGTGCCATCTACTTTCGTGATGCCATCCACAAGTCCCGTAGTTCTTCCTCTGCACTTCCCATGGATGATGCCGACAACTTTTACTCAGAGATCACCCCAAACACCTTCGAGTACTTGATGAGCTTCTACCTTGGTACACCAACAAAGAAGATCCTCGCCATCGCTGACACAGGCAGTGATCTCATATGGGTCCAATGCGCCCCGTGCAATGAATGCTACTCCCAAACTGCCCCTCTTTTTGACCCGCAAGCTTCATCTACATACAAAACAATCTCCTGTAATACCGACCCTTGCTCGATACTACCACAAAGCAGTTGCGGCCCCTCCTTGCAGTGCTACTATCAATATGGATATGGTGACAGGTCAATCGTCGAAGGCTACCTCTCCACGGAGACAATAGGTTTTGACTCTACCAGCGGTCGTCCAGTGCAAATCCCCACAACTCTCTTTGGGTGCACCCATCAGAGCAATGGCACTTTTGACAAGAATGATGCTGGCCTCGTTGGTTTAGGTGGAGGAAAGCTCTCACTCATCCGCCAACTCGGCTCTACCATTGGGAGCAAGTTTTCCTACTGCTTGCCCTCGTCAACCCAAACATCTGAAACGAGCAAGCTCAACTTTGGCTCCAATGCAGTTGTCTCTGGCTCTAACGCTGTTACCACACCCTTGATCTCCGGTTCTCCGGACACATTCTACTTTCTTAGCCTTGAGCACATCAGCGTGGCCGGAAAGACAGTTACTGTCGAGAAGCCCACACAAACCAAGGCGCCTGCCCAAGGCAACATCATCATTGACTCTGGCACGACTCTAACACTCCTTGATGATAACACATTGCAATCCGTGGAGAGCAACGTGAAGAGCAGCGTTAGCCTTTCCCAAGTCACAGATCCAAATGGCGTCTTCAACCTTTGCTTTGATGTCTCTGGAAGTGGAGCTTCCGCTAAGTTTCCAGAGATCACCTTCCAATTTTCTGGTGGGGCGTCAGTGGTCTTGCAACAATCCAATGCATTTGTGGAAGCTTCTCAAAATATTGTGTGCCTTGCAATGGTCTCTAGTGGAAGCACCCCAGATTCTATCAGCATATTTGGTAATATTGCACAACAAAACTTTCATATTGGCTATGACCTTTCCAGCATGCAGCTCACCTTTGCGCCGACCAATTGCTCTACACTATAGATATGATTCTCTTGTGTATACTATTGGCTAGTCATATGTCCTCTCTTAATTTTACCATGTACGTTTTATGCTCATACACTATATCTTCCCTTTAACTTTCGAGCAACCTTATGCTTGCTTCACTTTAACTTGTATTAAATGTATCCATGGTTTATATATTTCACGTGTTATTACCGCACTTCTTAGTTTAAGTAGAATCTCATTTCCTTGAGAGGATTCTATAAGCAGTTTTCTTCATTATTTTGCCATTCCATTATAAGTCGATGAAAAAAATAAATACTGCTTTTATGTATATTGAGCTTATTCAAGTAAAGCATATTCCTGTGATTAGATAGTAGCATTTAAATTTCTAAATTTTAAATAATTATTCACAGAAGTATTTACTATCGTTCATCAAATTATATGTCATGCTTGAGCTAATATTTGTATAAAATAAAATGTATAGTTTTTGTAACATTTTCTTAAAACCACTCAAAATAGGAAATGGGAAAATATCACTATAGGAAATATGTATTGATTAAAAAAAAATCATATTTATATACATTCAATATATGTATAAAGATATGTGCACTTGCTCCAATATTGTTTATTGAGTTAGTTCCTTTTTAAATTTCATGTATTTTTAGCAAACTAATCTATTCAAAGTTAAATAGATCAATTTTAGTTCAACTCAATTTAGACTCGAGTGTTCATGGGAAAAATTTGAATTTGTACCAAATACTTTTTTATGTGTTGGAATATTGTTTTTTTATTGAACTAGCTATTAAATATAACCAATAAATGATTGTGATTTTTTTTGAGGAAAATAACGCTTTATTAAATAGTTATTAAACATAATAAAAAAATGAATGTTATTTTTATTTGGACAAGAACACTTTATTCTAGCTCCCTCAATAGCATAAAGTGTTATTTTCCTAAGGCTAGAAAATGTGAACAATTCAACCTAGACTCAGCCAAATCATTCACTGTTTCTTCCAACACCTTCATATAGTCGAGATGAACATATCAATATGGCTACATGCGTACGAAATACAAGTTTTCTTCACAAGTGATGAAATCGAAGGCATTTTAGTGTTTTTGAAATATTCCTTTACCCAAGAGGTGAGGCCTTCATTGGGTGCTTGTGAAAGCTTCAGTGGAGTCCAAAGAACCTCCTCAAAATGTTAGTTTGCTCTAGTTTAAGCTCCAAGTATGATTTCGATCGATATGTGGTGCACCCTTGGTCTAAAGATGGGTTAGATGGCTCAACAGAGTGGAATTTTGATGGGGAACTTCCTCGTTTATTCTGAGGAAGCTTTCGGGTGGCTTAATTTGGAGTTTTATAGAGTTTGGGGGAGTGACAGAAAAAGCCCTGGATTTTGAGTTCAAAACTGAGCTCAGGCAGGGCAGAGAGGAGCTGAAGATAGTTGTCCTGTGCTTAGGAAAGTCGGGAGAATCTCTGGAGAGATTTTGGTAGAGTTTCTCAAAGAAATTTAGCACAATTGTGAGTTGGCCAAAAATGGGGCTTCTTACAGCCATGGCCAAGGGGAGGGCCTCTGACTCTGATTGGTTGGTGCAAGAAGGCTGAGGTGGAGGGCTAAGCGGTGCAACCATCCAATGGGGAAGTGCCACAATCAATGGGTTCAATTTTGGGTTTAAAGGGGGGGGAGG